GGGGGGGGAAGGCAAAGAAGAAGACTGTTTCAGGGGTTTGGCTAAGAAGCAAGTATGGCAAAAGCATTCCTCTGCTGGCCAAGAGGGTGCCTCTGCTGAGGCCACAATTAAAAGAGCCAGGAAAAATGGGACAAGTGCTGTTTCACTAATAAAAATACTCCAATAATCAGTTTTTAAATGCCACAATAAAACATGCAGTCTGTTTTCTGGAGGAAAACCCCCTGTATGTATTACTTGAATATATGTTTTCTTACAGTGTGGGTAGTTGTTGCCATTTTACTTCTTCTTCCAAAAGTAATTTCATGACCTAAGAATATTTTTGTTCAAAGTAAATCGACTGTCTCTAGGAAGCAGCCAGCTGAGAACTGCACTACAGCTCTGCTAGTAGAGATCTACGTGGAAAGAGTTTCCCACTAAATAAGCTGTAGTGCTTAGTCCATCTGCCTTACCATGGCTGAACTGATCCCAGTGCTCTCTGAGAAGGCAAGACTCTATTACCAGTAAACCAGCCAGCCAGCCCAGTGTGATTTAAAGGTACAGCTCCTCGTCAGGTCTTGCTGTGTGAAGATGAGCAGCTTCCATTTTATGGGATGCAGTCATGATTTGAAAACATTAAGAGATTACAACACACTACTTCTTTGGTTAGACTTTTACCAACAGTTCTCTATTTTGTCTGTTAAAACTTTGGGTTTATTTCCAAAAGAAAGCCTTCAGCTTCCAAGCAATGAACCTAGCTACATACCTGCTAGTTCTTTTATCTCTCTTACTTTTACTACACTGTAAACTGTTTTGTATTTTGATCTACCTTCTTCCTGATAAACTAAATAGATTGTGTCCTTTATCTCTCCCACATTCCCTAAGACTCAAACTTCTAAAATCTTCTCCAGAGCTGGAACCACTCTCTCCTCTTTCTGAAGATCTTTTGCAAAAGGGATACCAGGACAAACACTGCAGTGTCTTTCTCACTAATGGTTCACACAGAGCTGGGATCACCTCTCCATTTCTGATCACATTTTTCTACTTATGAATCCAAGCTCATAATTGGTCCTTTTTGTAAACTTCTGTCCCATCTCTTATTCTCTCTGATGCATAAATCCTTTCCCAAGCCACTGCTTTCCATGTTCTGCTCTTTCCCACAGGGCGAGGAAGAGAGGCAGGCCTGAGGCACAGGGCACCCACCATTGGTAAGGACCAGTGTGCCTGTGGCAGGCTGGTTGGAATGTTTGTGATTGCTTAGTCAGGTAGAAACGGATGCTTTGAAAATACATTAAGTTTATTTTTTCTGCTGCTCTGCAAAGGCAGGAGTTTGAAAATTAATATTAAGTAAGTTATCTGCAATATAGCTGCTGACCTTTACAAGTACAGAAGCTGGGAGGGTCATGGAGTACCCAGCAGGAGCCCAGTCAGGAAGAGGATGCCAGATGGCTGCTTACCAGTGTTACCAGTGAGAGGCAAATGGGCAAGCTGCTCTATAACATTAAGAAATGCTCTGGGGCTCACAAGGCAAAGAGATGTGGGCAGAAGGATCCAACAAGTGAGAAGATACGCCAGTAAAGAAATGAGCATAGGGTTTTTAATTTTTGTTGGTTTTACCCCAACATGTTTTTCAAATAAAGTATAATTTGTTTTAGAATCAAACACAACTTCAGTACAAACAAATGATGTGTCCTGAAGAGTTCAAAGTTAAATTCACATTGTGTGTTTGAAGCAGCTCAAGTCTTTAACTGTCTGCTCTTTTAAATGTCAAGGCTTGGAATTGAAGGCTAATGTTGAGTTTGGCCCTGTGGCAGCTCTTGCACGTACTCTCACTGTCCTCTCTCCAATGCATGAACAGCAAAAGTAATTCCTGATTGCAGTATGAATGTCTTGGATAGTGGATGTATGACAACGCAAACGTGAATTCTGCTACTCTGAATATGTAGCTAGCATATAGAAACCCCACAACTAATAAACCCAATCCTTTTCATTGAGAAGCGTGTGTCTAAGTAGTTCAATCTTTATATATCTGCACCTACTTAATAAAGTCATCAAACTATTATCAGTGGGAAAACCACAGAATCATAGATTCATAGAATGGTTAAGATTGGAAGGGACTTTAATGATCATCAGGTTCCAACCTCCCTGCTAGGAGCAGGGACACCTCACACTAGACTAGGCTGCATAAGCCTCATCCAACCTGGCCTTACCTCCAGGGAGGGGGCTTCCACAGCGTCCCTGGGCAACTTATTCCAATGCCTTGCCACCCTCATGGTGAAGCATTTCTTCCTGATGTCTAACCTAAATTTCCCCTCTTTCAGTTTAAAACCATTACTCTTTGTCCTATCACTGCCCTCTCTGATGAAAAGCCCCTCCCCAGCTTTCCTGTAGGCCCACCTCAGGTACTGGAAGGCTGCTATAAGATCTCCCCAGAGCCTTCTCTTTTCCAGGCTGAACAGCTCCAACTGTCTCAGCCTGTCTTCCTAG